GAAGAATACTATAAAATACAACAATGCAAACCAAACGGCCTTATTGAATACTTTTTATTTTTTATTTTCTGTTATATTTCTTTTCTCTTCATAGTTAATAAAACCATCTTGAAGTAAAGACTCCAATATTTTGTAGACTCCTAACAAGAGCTCACTATGGAACATCGCTGGATACATGACTTAGCGCCCAGAAAATTAGTAATATTGCTAGCACTTGATAATATGAACATATAGTTCAGTACTTCAATTAAAAATATATGTAAATTGTATGAATATTTTTAGTTTTTCCCATGGATTTGAAATCAATTACTTGAATAATATGAGTACTCAAACAATATATTTGAATTAGAGATATTAAAAGGGGTTAAGATCGGACTATAACTGGAGATGAATATGTAATATAACTGGTTGGTCTGAAAGTCATAATTATTTTCGCATATTATTCTCATCTGATTTACTATTTTATTTGAAATTTATATTTCCCTAAGTTGTACTAAAATTACATTTGAATTTCAAATAAATTAAACTATTTTCATTCATTTATTATCCCACATCGAATTCACTTTTGTATGAAAGGAAAAATTTTCATTTTCATAGCGTTAATGAAGGCTAAATGAAAATTTTTGCTTAATGAAGCTGTGTCTGAACAGAGTATTAGCGTGTTTAACTAACATTAATTTAATTGTTACAAAATATCTTGTATCTGTTAATAATTGACTTAAATAATCAAATCATTAATGTTTGCAAACAACAATATTTCTATTAATAAACATGTTTATGGGAATGTAAAATTTTTATATGTAAATTTATAAAAGTTGTGTAATTTAATATAATAAAAATTAATCATTTCGAAATTGCAGAAAAGACATACGTTTATATAAAAGTTTTACTGTTCAATAAAATATAATAAAAAACTGAGGAAGAAAATTTTATATATTCAGCTATATAACTCTAATTCAGCTATTACTATTTTATTGAAAAGAATTTTTTAATTAGGCAGACAATAAAATATTCTTAAAGAATACAAAAAAGAGTCACCATTTAAAATATTTAATTTTTTTATTAAAATATCAAATTTTTTTTATTATTTTTCATATATTTTTTTATCAGTATCATATATTATTAAGTGGATCTTTAAATGGATCTAAAATCTAGTCACAAACTTTTGCTTAAATAAAAAAAGTGAAAAAAATGATATTTCATTAAAATGTTTACATTTACCGATATTTATGTCTAATTCATCCCAGATAACATAAATTGAGAACACTTTGTATTAACTGTTCTCACATGAACAAGCAAGAATCTCCAACAAAAGTTTGTTGCTTAAGTCTTTTGCTTTGTTTACTGTAGAAGAGTTTGTGGCTTTATGGATTCTACTTTACATAGATGTTTCAAAATAAAGTTTCCTGCGGTTTATTTGCTCTTTTTTAAGATATATGTGCTTGTTTTTGTACTACTTAATTTATGAAATATTTCAGCATTAATATCAAGAATGAATGTTGTTTATCTTTACCATACCGCAAGTACAAGTTTTTCTTCAAAATTATTTGTTCTTGATTTTGGTATGAAGTAAAAAATCATACAATAAAAATCTTAAAATACTAGATATATGTAAGACAAGTAGCCAAATTTTTATACATATATGTATATGCAGTATGTTTGCATAAATAATTTGCCACAAGCATAAAGTATGAAGCGTCCGCAGTCAAGCATAAAAATGCATTTTTACTGCGTTTATAGGAAGCTTCTGTCATTACGCGGCAAACAGTGGCTGCACACTTTAAAACTGGTACAAAATAAAGCATCAAAATGAAATATATAAAAAAAAATAAATAAAATAAAATATAAGAAAAATTACAAAAAAAAAAAAACGCAAAAAAGGTTGTTTAAAAAAATAAAACATAAAATCATTAAAATGCAAATAAAAAATATTTTTGAATTAAATTAAAACAGTTCATGTTGTATTTTTTTAAATTCGAAACAAAATGAAGATTGTAATAAATAAATTTTAAAAATCAGGTACAAAAAAATTAAAAAAAGAAAATACGACTTAGTGCTAAAGAAAATCGACATTTTTTGGATATTTTTTAACTTGCCCCAAAGGTTATGTTTAATAAAATAAATAATGAATTTAATATATATATCAAAGGACTATCAGGAAATCATATTTGGAAAATTATTAGACGCGAATTAATTGCAACTAATGAGATAATCATGTTGTCAGGATCTCTTTTTCAGTAAATATTACTAAAATAGGTATTAATTTAATAAAAAATGAAAATCTATATATAATCAATAGAATAATTAATATATTTGATGAATGCGATTCATATTTATATTTTATTTAATATATGTATATTCGATATGCTAAATATTGGTTTTGAGCACCTTTGAACTATTTGACAACTCAATGAGAATATTTAATATAGTACTAATTTTAAGGGCAACAGATGTCGTTGCAATCCTATTTTCAGGATTACACTTTTAGATACGATTAACAAGCAAACGATTTTTTATATAATACATATATTTCAAACTACATAGGCATCTTCATTATACGTATTATGCTTTTCAGTAAATATTATACATAGTTTAGAGAACTATCAGCAAGGAGTGATAAAGTATTAGTTAACTGTTTCAAAATTAATATTATAGGGATTCCTTATTATTTACATATTTTTTGCACACAATGTGAATTAGTTGATTATTTTCATATAAAGTCTATATAATTTTTTTAAAATATATTTTAAAGCACAAAATTCGAACTAATACATGTTTTACAGCACCTTCAGGAAGCAATGAGAAAAAAATCATTAAAGGTCTGATCAATATGCATATTGAGCTATTAATATTAAATGGATCCATTACTATCTTTATATATCTTTTAAAGTACTTTATACTACATACTGCATTATGTATCATTTTTGATGAAAAAAATATGTACTTTGCAGCCTCGTTGGAAATTAATTGATAGCCTCAGAGGAACTATTAAAAAGCCAGAGCAGTGCACTTATTACAATACTACCATTATAAGTATTACTATTTCCTTTCTTTCACAATTTATTTTTGCTCTGTTAATAATAAAATCTTCGAAGAATGTTTAAATACCTTTTTACTTATATATTAAACTACACTATATACTTTTTGTGGGGACCTTTAAAAAGTTATAACAAGGGAACTATTAAAAATCTAAATTCTTGAATATGGTGAGATCAAAATTCAAGAATTTCTTACTACCAAATATCTTTTAAAGAATAATTGTTCTCTGCTTCTTCTCGACTTTTTCGTTGTTTTTTGCAATTAGTGTAACAAAATATTATAAGAATGCTTATTTACTTTTTTAAGAATCTTTCAAACTACACCCTGCATTGTGAACCACACACACACATATTTTATGAACTAAATATATACCATACTCCTATAGGTACTCATTATGTACCCAACTGCAGGAAGGAACGACAAGTAAGATACTAATATATAGATACTAATATAAATATTTAACAATTAGAATAATAATATTTTTTAAGGAATTATTATTTATTTCTTTACTGAACATAAACTATGTGCAAGTTAAGGAACTGTGAGGAACTAGTACAAAGCCAGTTCAGCACACGCAGTAAAATACTAATAACAGAATCTCTTAATATTTAAACTCTTTAAAGATATATTTCTTCTATGCATTTTTTCTATTATATCCAGAACTAGACTAATAAAATTTTGGAAGAATGTATTTCTTATTCTTTATATATGTATGTCTTCAACTAGACACTGTATCATTTATTTTATACTATTAATTAAATATATGTCTTGGTGTACTTTCAAATAGTCATGACTGAGGGCACTATTAGAATGTCAGATCTGTAAACTTAATGAAATGCTGTTAGTACAAATATCTTCTAATATCTAAAATAACTAAAATAAATAAATTTCTTCAGTGTTATATTTTAAGGAATCATAAGATAATAATTCGTTGTATCTTGAACTAAGAAGAGTCATAATATGCTATAAGTGTATATTGAAGATATTTTATTTTTCCTGTCTTCTTTCGTTGCAGCATTTATTTAAAGTGCAAAATTATCTTTTCAGTTGTGCAGATATTTTGTATTTGTTTTTGTTTTTGTTTTGCGATCTTTCTCCCCACTGCCACACTGGCCTCAAAGCAGGTGAACTGACTGCATTTTTTCTGAACGATTTACAGGATTATGTGATTTTATATGCAATTTATGTGACATGTACGCAACATATTCGTGCGAGACAAAGAAATTAATGAAAGTTGAAAATATAAAGAAAAAATATGTGCAACATTTTTTTTAATGAAACTTTTTAATTTACATAAATTTTTTGTTTTGACATAAACCAGTTCAGCAATTAAACATGAACTTAATATATTTCACTTTTCTTTAATTTTATATTACGAAATATATACAAAAATATTTAATATAAAAGAAAAAAGACACATTTTCATTTTTTTTTTTTTTGTGTTTTGTGGTTTGTTTATATTTAATGTAAACCGGACATTGGGTGTTAAATTCATCAAAAAAAAAAAATATGAACAGAAAAAAAAAAGTTTTTAGAAAAACTAAAAGTATCTTTTTCTTTCATTTGAGTAAAAATCTAATTATCTCTAAATGTTGTTGGCAGGCAGTAAACACAACAACAACAACAACAAAAAATGAAATTTTTACTTTTTTTTGGGAATTCCATCGATACCCATTCTGATTATGTAATTGTTTTTGAGTTGTTTTGTAGATGAAAGACATTAAGTGAACATAAGAAAAAAGGTTTGCATTAAAAAAAAATTTAAAAATAAAATCGAAACCAGTTGAGCGCACGTTTAACATAATTAACATTTCGTGAAATTAAATATTTTGAAAATATTTCATTTCAGAATTTGTGTTAAGCCATGAAATTTCATATTCGACCACATAAAATTAATTAAAATAATTTAATTACAAAAATTAACTCTGCTAATTTCTCTAATATTTCTTTTTTCCACTCACCTGTATCTTTGGTAATTGTTGCGTAAAATAGCCACTCTGGCATTGACCTCTGCGCACGCATGTCTGTCCGCCGGTACATTTAAGGAACTCTTTTGGTGGCAGATATGTAGGGCCTTGGAAGCCTTGTGCTTGACGACTTATAATTGCGTGTTCGAGGAATATATTGGACGCTGGATTCACGGAGAAATGCGTTTCGGGATGTGACTTAATACCATTCTGGTATTGGCCATTGAGGAACATATTTGCTGAGTATTGTGCGGCGTGCACATTAGCATAAAGCATTGTAGCCAAGAGGCCCAAAAGTATGGTTCGACACCGTGACATTATTATTTATTCTATTTATTAAGGTTTTTATTCACTTAAGGCTTAGTAAGTTCTTGATGTGCTTACAACTGAAAGATGTTGGTTAGAAAACTGTAAAGAAAAGTAAGAAAAAATATTAGTTTAGCCTTAAGGTTACTTCTTATTTCAGTAAATAATTATTTACTTTTAATAAATTCATTATGTTTCTATTACGCTATAAGTCGTGACAAATATTTAACAAAAATAATAAACCTGAATTAACTTGACAAATTTTTAAATAATAATAATTTAATATTTTATTATAATCCATTAAATTAAAAATTGATAACGGAATAGTGCTCTTTTCATGATTTCTTTTTAAAATTTATTGTTTAATTAATTTTTATATTTATTATTAATTTTTTTTATCAAACCTAAAGAATGTCATTTTTATTTGTAATTTTTTAGTTAAAGTTTACCATTTTCGTATATAAGTTTCTTTATATTATTTTATTTTATTTTATTTTATATTTACATAAAACTATTATTTTTATGTTATATTACGTTTTATGTATGTAATAAAACTATTATTTTTATGTTATAATATTTTTTATATATTTTTTTGTTGTACATATTATATATTCATTTCACATTTTATTACTTTATTTGTAAATTTTACAAAAATGTCATAAAACAGAAGGTTTTTTCTTTACGTAAATGTTTTATTTTTAATTAAATTTTAAACCATAATTTAATAATATATTCATTTTTGATTTTATCATGCATACCATATTTTTATTATTTAAAAATAATCATAACAATAAATATATATATATTTATGTATATATTTTCTTTTCTTTTTGTTAACATATCTAATTAGTCTTAAATATAATTGCTTGCATTGTTTTTTCAAATATTATTTTTTTTAAATTTAGTATTATTATTTTGTTTTTTTTATTTAAACAATTACAAAGAATTTATTGCCATATAAATTATTTTTAAATATAATTACTTGCATAATTTTTTCCATTTAAATTTAATACTACAATTTTTTATATATTATAATTTTTTTATATATATATATTTTATATAGTTTTTAAACATAAATGTAATATTATGGTTTCTTAAAATTTAATATTATTACTTTGATTTTAGACATATACATTTATTGTATTTATTATTATCCTTAAATTATTTATATACTTTATATATTTAACATTTACTATAATTTTTTTAAATTAATTCTTTTTCATTATTACACATATTGACTGCATTTTTTATTTAATTTATTTAAAGTCATATATAACAAAGAAACTATTTTTCTCTATTATTAGTTATATACATTACAGAATTTATATCCTATTGTTGAAATAAGTAAAAGGAAACTTACTTAAAGGAGTATTACAGAAATAAGAAGATTGATAGAAGGAAAGTTTGACATTAAGATATGTTTGCGAAATAAAAGGTTATCGATATACGAAAAATAGACCTACAAAAATCTGACAAAACTGTTGTTGAAAATAAAGGTTTCTGGAAAAATTATCTGAAATATGTAAAAATATTAAATTTGAAACTCATTTCTATGTAAGAGCATATTATATGTATAATTTTAAAGAATTTTATTAGACCAAAACTTATTGTGTGAATTAAAGTATTTTTTTTTAAGTTATTAATGATTTTTAGACTGAACGTTTTTTTAGTGTAAATTTTTATTTAGCCCTGCTCTATCTCGATAAATACTAAAGCTTTTTTCTAAATTTGATATTACAAAAATTTAAAAGAACTATTAAAGATGGGGAGCATTGATCCTATGAGAGCTTTTGTTTCCTTGTCAGATCACAAAAAATCTGTAGTTTCATATATATCATTATGTAGTCCTTTCTCTGTCTGAGGAAAGATATAATATTAAGGCCTTTCGTTATTTCGATACCATATTATATACAATATTTGTTACTTTAAGAGAACAGTATTGGTATTTATATTTTATTGTACAGTACACTGTCTGTATGTATGGCCCAATGTTCCCATGGGAACGTACTGGATTGATTGATTGACACTGTCTGTATAAGTTAAAATATAATACTAGACTATTTTAACGCTTCGAATGCATTTTATATGGAACTTTCAATATTTAGAGGAAACATTATCGATATATTTAAAAGAATTTGATTATACGTTATTAAAAAGTTTAAATATATGAGGTTTTCATAACACAAAAAATTTACTGTACGTATAAATATATAAGTTTGAGTTTCTAATCTACAAGTTTTTGTAGTTTGTAGTTTTTTTTTTGTTGATTTCTTTCAATTCTTTTAAATTTTATCAAAGTCAGAGTTAACAAATTTACTTATTAATATTTATTAGTTAACTTTATACTTTGCAAAAATTTGAATAAAAAAGGCAGTTTCATTTAACAAAAAAAAAAAAAAATTATCATTAAATACTATAATTAAGCATTCAGTAAAAATCAAAGAACCAGATAATGAAAACCACTTCACACATAATAGACTGTCATCACTTAGCAATGCACACGCTAGTAAAGTGCTGAAAGTAACTAATGTATTGAGATGAAATTGATAGCTAGAAACTATCTGAATAATTGCCATAAATACTGTCAACCGATATTTGCTAAACATTTGTACATGACTGCGTTAAACGTCATTTTCGGACCAACTACAGATATTCGTACGAGTAGGTTGTACGCGTGTCTTAACTGATGATGACACAATATTTTTTGTTGGTGTTCTTCTTTCGTGCAGTTACCATATAAATCGGCCTAAGTCTAGTCAATCACGCTTAAGTTTATTAAATAGATTTTGCAACAGTCATTGGACATGTGAGTTACTAAATGACGATGACGACCCAGACACTAAACCAGACATGTGCAACAAGAAGCAAAAGTTGCCAAGTTACCAACTTACCAACTTACCAAGTTGCTTTAAGACTTAACACGACTTAAAGCCATTTTAAAGTGAATACCGAAATGTTGTACAATTTAAAACATCGAATCTCTAGAAACAAAAAAATCAAAAAACAAAAACTACTCTGAAAACATTTTTTAGTTTTTGTTAAATGAAAAGAAACACGTCAATAAGAAAAACGCGTCAAAATGATGGATGGTTTCAACAACAGTTATTTTCAATTTGGCACTATGACACTTGGGACTCGACACTTGTTTGTTGGATTCTGTATCTGTATCTAAAAGAAACACAACACCACAAAACACAAAAAAAACATGTTTAGTTGCTAAAATAAAACAGAATTTTTCGCAAATTAAATTATTTGAAAAATTCATCGAAAAACCAGTTGAGTTTTGTCGCTTCCTTATGCTTGTAAATCAATTAATAACTTAACTGCTGGCCAACAAAAGTTATTAAGTAATTTGTCAAAAACAACAAAAAAAAACAAAAAAAAAAAGAATAGAAAAATTAAAAAAACATAAAATTAAGTGAAAAATTCTAAGTCACAATTAATTTACAACTCGTCTGGGACATTAGAATAGTCACCGCGTTGCCGTGCCAGCATCTGCGAATTATTATTTAATAAACAATAAAATAATTATAATAAAATAAATATTAAAAGAAAACACCGCACCGGATTTCTAATATAAAATTTTGTTTTTAAGTTCTCAAATAAAAATTACTAAATTAAATTTATTGAGTTAACAAATAACTGAAAAATTGTTGGCCGAATACTCGTTAATTAATGTGAGTTTATCGCACCTTCCCAGAACTTATGAGTTCATATGGATTTGAATGTCGAAAAACAGTAGCTCAGATACATTGAATTTGGCGGCAGAATTTGACGTGTTGACATTATTAATAATATAAAAATATTTTTATATTAATAATTGCTTCCTTTGTTTTGAATTCTCAAACGACTTTTCTTTGATTTTAAGCCTAAGCCTATTATATGAATATTTTTGTTCTGTTGATTTGTTTCAAAATTATTTAAGTAGCTTAATTAATTATTTTATAAACCATGTTGAAATTAAAAATAACTGAAATTGCTGAAAATATTTGGTTTTTAGAAGAAATTCGATATGTTGACATTTTATTATTGAACACAACGAAAAAAAATTTTGTCAATCAAATGTTGGTTTTTTAATAATTGTAATGATGATGACATAGAGCAATTAAATGATATGCCGTAATTAAATAGCAATTTAACTTTATGGAATGCTGATGTCATTTTCAATCCAACATCAGCTGATATAAGTAATACAGGCTCTGGTTATAAAAAAGCGCCCATTTCTACCGAATATTCTATGATATTCTACAGTGAAACACTAATATTTATTGTTATGGTGTTTTGATAACTTCTTCAATCTATATTCATTATTAGTACAGTTTTCATTTTTGATTGATAAATCTTGAGCGAAATCTATAACACTTGAGATTAATTTATAAGACACTAGACATTTTACAAGAGTAGCAAGATTACCTTGAACTTAACAACTGTTTGATTTGATATATGTACTTATGAAAAATATAATTGTCTACTAACACTATCACAAAAATGTTTGTTTGGGTAACCAAAATTTACAGATAGAAAGTAAATATAGACTGAATACAGATTTACCAATCGAAAACACCATCACATTTTACAGAACATCCACATGCCCGAGTATAACAGCACTTAGAAACATGTACATCATCAGGAATACAATTGATAAATTGTGACGGGTAACAACAGTTTAAGGAAATCATCAACACATCCAAAACTATATTTACATTGAAAAGACAGGATATTAAAATCTTCATCAGGTCTCTGAACCAATACCACCATCTCAAAATATGTACATATATTGTTCCTAAGATCAAACCACAAAACTGAATAGCAAATGTTTAAACATATCGTGGACCTACTCCTGGCTACACATAACACATGCAAAAAAATAAAAGCATTCTTAGTGTTACTGGTCTGAGTTCTAACTATAGTTGTCAATTGAGGTACGTATAGTTGTCAGTTAAGACAACTATCGTTAACGCAATATAGACCATTTAAAAAAATTGTCACAATAATTATAATAATAGTTATCACCTTTCATAAATGAGATAAAAGAACTCTGATATATGTAGATTCTATGAAATTCTAATGCATTGCGATTGCAAGGCATTGAACTTAAATTA